AAACAAGTTAGGAAAAAAAAAAAAATTGGAATCAGATAGGGGGGGGGATAGGGAATAATAAAATGTTTTCCCGATATTTGTGAGAACTTGTCACAGAGGGGTTTTTAGGGAAAACAAAACCACAAATTAAAGGGAAAAGGGGGTGGGTGGTGCATTGAGATATCTGTGAACAAAGAACATTTCCATGGGAAAAGAAGGAAATTACAAGATATATGGTACAAACCCCTTTTGAAAAGCAGGGGGTTTTAATTTTTGCATGGGGAGGGGCTGGAGGCAGTGTGTTGGGGTCAAAGGGGGCAATGTGGGCTTTTTATGCAGAAAAATTATATGGGAATTTTGGGGTGTGGAGTTACTAAAAGTATTATTAAAAGGGGCAGAGGGGGGGGTTATTGAGGTTTTTGTTCATTTAGGAGGAGGAGAAAAAAAGAGATTTTTACGGGGTATTAAATCGTAGTAATGGGGGGGGGTGGGCGTCGTCCGGGGAAGGTGGAGGGGGGGGTAAAAGGGGTTTCGGTAAAGGGGGCGGGGACAATCTCGGGTGTGTAACTTTAGATGGGAATGAATGAATAATGGTTTTTGGGGACCTTTACAAGCTTTTGGAGTGGGGAAAATAATTTTTGTAAAGGAATTCGGGGAAAACTGGTAAGCTGGACTTGAGCCCTGGGGGTGGAAATACAATCTGCGCTTTAAAAGAGGGGTTTGGGATATTGGCTTTTTTGGGGTGACACTAAACAATATAGAGGTCTCTAAAAAAAACATAGTAATTATGTGTAATGATGGTGAAATGTTTCTTTTTGGGGCACCTGCCTGGGGTGGGGAGGGCCCAAATGTGTTAAAAAAAAAAAAACTAAACATTATGAAGTCCCCTTGACAACGTAACTATCAAAATGGGCCAACTAATGATAAGACTTTAAATTTTTAGAGAAATAAGGTTTTTAAATTTACCTTTCTTTCTCTATCTCTCCTTTCTCTCTCCTCCCCCTCTCTTTTTTCTCTTTCCATCAACAATTTAGATGCTCACAATTTTGCAGGGAAACATAATTATTCAGATAGCAGATTGTAGTACTGTCATAGGAAAATTTTTTTTTTTTTTCTTTAAAAAAAATTTTTTTAAAAAAAATTTTTTCTTAAAATAAAAAAAAAATTTTTAAAAAAAAATTATTTAAAAGGAAAAAGAAATTTTATTAAAAAGAAACTTTAAATTTTGTTTATTTAAGAAAAAATTTTTCCTCCCCCCTCTCTGATAAACCCCACCCCCCCCCCCATCCTTCCTCAAATAAAATAAAAGCACGAAAACCACTGTAGGGGTCATTTGTGCTTTTGTCTCACACAGGCCCTTTAACTTGAAAATTTTTAAAACTCAACAGTATCACAAAACCTTCACAACCCAAAACCCCCCGATGGCTGACACACTTATGATCTCATCACCATGATCTGATCAATCTTATAACCCACCCAAACTCTTACATAACTATAACCTCAAAAACCCAACATGCTTTCACCCACTCATAACCTCAAATTTCACCTCAACCCAAATAAGACAGCTCAAAAAAGTTTTGAGGTCTCCATCATAAGTTTAAAAATTATGGAACTAAACTATTTGGTTTACTTAAGTACCTATAGTTCACAACAATGGGAAATACAAAAAAACAAGGAAAAGACAGACTTGTGATTAAAACCCATGATTTTTCTTACCCCTTCCTGGGGCCCGGGGGTGTGCATTCCCCTGATTGCCTGTTAAACCCGGGTTTGCTCTTTTGGCCCCTGAACCAAATACCATCACACTAGTTTGATCTGCATTTCTTCCCTTTGGTATTAACGTTTAAATTTCAATTCTATATCATTAAACTCTTGTATAGATTATTTTCCCTTTTTTGACTATACCTGCTTTTTAAGCAATAAAACCCCCTTTTTTTTTTTTTTTTTACATTCTTCTACTTTTTCTTTCAATAAATTATCACCTGTAGGTTTCTCACATATTTATTTTATATAGATCTTGATGCTTCTGTACTAAGCTTTTCCATACACGGTGTGGCTACAATATTCACTGCGCTTACCCTAATACAAAACAGTGGTATCTCGGTATACATCCTTAATCCTTCCAGGACCTTTGGGCTTTTACCAAAAAGGGGCGTATACCCAAAAAAATTTTCCTAAGAAATATAGGGAAAAAACGATTAATCCTTTTCCCCTGAAAAAAAATCTATTGTTATGGCATATTATACTTTGATGGGGTTGTAAAATTTTAAAAAAGAAATACAAAAATACACCAAAATACAAAAGAATTAGATGAAAAAATGAAAATTTAACCTACTTTACTTTGCTGAAAAGGTCAAGTCCCATAGGATAGTGTGGAGGGAGGAAAAGGGAAAAATGTTATTGTTTGGAAGGGAGTCCCCTTCTCTTTTCTGTTTTTTTTCCCTTTTTGGATTTGGGTTTTGAAGCCCCCAGGTTTGACTTTACTAAAAAATCTCTCAAAGAATTTGCTTCTGCCTTTCAGGATTTTCGGGATTTGTCTGAATCCCAGACGATGTTTTTAGGCTTTTTTGGGGCTTTGTTGAGGTGGTACTTCTCTGAAAAGTTTTGAGTCCCCCTTTTGGGCAAAATTTCCTTGATTAATGAAGCAGGGGCTTCCTCTATCTCCTCTTCTGAGCCTGAAGAGAGTGCATCCATCTTAGTCTTGTGCTCCTCCTTTTCAAGTTCCTGCAGCTCCTCAGTGGTCAACTCTTCCCTGTGCCCCCCCACATCACCATCACTCACATCCAGACCCATGGACCTGCTCAGAGACAATATCCTCCACTATAGACACAGCCTCAGAGTCCCTTTCAGCCACTGTTTCTGGCCACAAATTCCTCCAAGCAGAGTTCATTGTTCTGTATGAAACTTTCTGCCAGGCTTTATCAACGAGAGTTATGCAATGGTATGTAATGGGTGATAGTAAAGTGATCTTTCCAAAACACTCTCAGGGTTAACTGTGTCAGAGATCACTTCAAAGCACCTCTGGAATAGTGCTTTAGTGTAGAGTTTCTTGAAATTACTGATGATCTGCTGATCCATGGACTGAATGAGAGGAGTCATATTGGGGGGAAGAAACTTTACAGCAATAAAGTCAAACTGGCAGCACACAGTCCAACAAGCTTGGAGGGTGAGCTGGAGCACTGTCCATTATGAGGGCGGCCTTCAGAGGCAGGTTTTTCTCCTTTAAATATCTTTTTACACTTGGCCCAAACACAACATTAAACCATTCGCTGAAATATTCTCTGGTTACCCAAGCCTTGTTGTTCGACCTCCACATCACAGGTAACTGAGTTTTCTGCACGTTATGTTTTTTAAAGGCCCTCGGGTGTTCAGAGTGGTAGATCAGTAGAGGCTTCAGTTTGCAATCCCCACATGCACTGGCACAGAACAAGAGAGTTAACCTATCCTTCACTGGTTTGTGTCCTGGTAATGCCTTCTCCTCTTGTGTAATATAGGTTCTGTTAGGCATTTTCTTTCAAAACAGGCCTGTTTTGCCACAATCAAAAACTTGTTGGGGAACAAAGCCTTCAGCCTCTACAAACTCCTCAAACTCTGTAACAAAATCATTGGCGACATCTCTATCATTTTGACCCATACAAGTTCTAGCACGCGAGTTGTATTCCAAACAAAGGTCGAATACCAAGCAAAAATTTTCGTGTCCAAAAGTTGGACTTGTGTATTCCAAAGTGGACGTATACCTAGGTACCACTGTAGAAGCCAAAGGAATATAAGAAATTTTAGCATATAGGGGTTGAACAAGTGGGTTGTCCAAAAGAGAGGCAGAGGCAAACCTTGAGAGAGAAGTCAGAGATAAATAGAACAATGTACAGATGCTCCTCGCTTTGTGATGGTTCGACTTATGGTGTAAAACTTATTTTTTTGCATTGTACAATACTGTTTGTTTGATAGGATAAACTTGTATTCATATATTTACTTTTCAATACTGGTATTTAGTTACAGTAATTATTTGTTTATTTACTTATTCTAAGACAGTAGTTATTTATTTACTTATTAATATTTATTTACTTATTTATCATATATTCATTTTCAACACAATACTTTTAACTTACAATGGGTTCATCAGAGAGTAACCCCATAGTACGTTCAGGAGCACCTGTATAAAGGTTGGGGATGAATATCAGACAATTAATGATCAAGAGGCAGAACCCAGGAGCTGAAGCTTAAGACCAACAAACAGTCAGGATATAAAGTTAAGGTAAAGTTAGCCCTTCATTTATTACATCACTTATATCAGCTATATTTCATTTACTATATCAGTTATCCTTCATATATTACATCAATTAATGTGCTATTTTGTAAAAAATACAATATACTGTATAAGTATTATCTGCAGTCAAAAACACTGTACACCTCAGACTTCTGAAAGAACTTCTTTAAGGCCCCCGAGTATCTGAAAACACTGTTTAACTAGTATATTTTACAACGGTTAATGTTCACAACATTCCATATTGTAGCACTGTAGTTTAAACGTTTACAACAGATGATATAGTTAAGTAAGCATCCCTGAGCTTTCATGCAGCTTTGGACTTGACAAGACTAAGATCATTCAGAGAGTTGAGAAGTGCCTGCACATCACTTTCCACCTGCTGCCGTGAGTCTGAGAGTGACAGCTGACTAGTGAAGGACGTGAGCAACTCAGCCTCCTCTACACTTCCAGAGCACTCAAGGAAAGTCTGCATCATTTCTATAACCTGAAAATATGATTAGCAAATTACACAAAAATGACATACTGTATATAATATCAACCCAAATTATGTAAAGAGATATACTGTAAAACTTAAATGAATCTAGTGCACTAAAAATGCAGAGTTAAGAAGCTGGAATATCTTTTAACACTGAACTTCATTTCCCAGATAGAAGATGCTATAAGACACCACACTTATGTTCATAATGCAAAATGTTCCAGGAATTGTTTCCCCCACAGCTTTGTCTTAGACCAGGCCTCCTAAAAACAAACTGTAGGAATAAGAGATATGTAAGAAACACACATGTATAATAAATGAAATTAGAAGTATGCAAGATTTACCTGCAATCTTATATGTTTATGAGACATAAAAAGACAGGCAATACTGCCAGTCTGAAAGGTTTAACAAGATTGTACCTTATGATCTTATGACAGAATGGTAGTGCCTCCCTGGACAGTTACCATACTATCTACCAACCTACTAACTTTTGGTGAAAGAAATAACAAAACAACAGGTTCAAGTTCATGCTCATGGTAAATTTTTACAGTACATTCAAAACATTTACAGGCATTTACAAACCTGATAAACTTGCTTCTTAATTTCTTGAGAAGAGGAGTTATTATCTCTCTGCAAGAGTTTAAGTTTGGAGCGGGCCAGGTGCAGAGGAGAATAACCCTGGTTGTCTGTCTGTCTCACATTTGTACCTGCCATAATATTGCAAAAATTATACAGCTGTTACAGTCTTCTTAAACATACTAGCCATCTCCCACTAAGGGTGACCAAAGAAAAAAAAAATTTACCCATTCATTTAATAGCTGTCTTGATGTAAGTGCATAGCTATCACAATTCAAATGACCCTCCAAACTGCAACATCCCCACCACTCTTTCAGAATGCAGGTACTGTACTGTGCTTACCACTTCCAGAACTGAAGGTTGGCTATGTCATTTCCCTGAGTACATATACAAATGTTTCTTTTAAGATGATAAAATTTAAAGAGAAAAAATAAACTGACTAAAGTAGTCAGGCAGTCACAGATCAAGAATTTTGAAAAAACTGGCAAATCTCAGAAAGCATCTTTAAAAAATATAGAACTCTCTAACAATAATTAGTTACAAGATTTCCGAGTATCATTAATAAACAAGAGAAGAGATGAACCATAAAACTGATGAGGGGGGGGGGAAACAAGGTGGGTGGTGCACTGCGGCATCTGTGGAGACAAAGAATGTTATCCATGGAGGCAAAAAGGTAAATGTGCGAGAGTATAATGACACCAATACTATTGCATGGGTGTGAAGCATGAGTTGTGAATGTTGCAGTGAGAAGGAGGCTGGAGGCAGTTAAGATGTATCTGAAGACAGTGTGTGGCATAAAAATTATGCAGAGAATTCATAGCTTGGAGATTAGGAGGAGGTGCATGAGTTATTAAAGATATTATCCACAGGGCTGAAGAGAGGTCGTTTAGGTAATATGGACATTTAAAGAGGCTAGAGAAAAATAGAATGACTTGGAGGGTGTATAAACCTGTAGTGGAGGGAAAGTGGGGTAGGGATTGCCCTAGTAAAGGTTGTAGGGAAGGGGTAAAGGAAGTTTTGTGTGAAGGGCCTGGACATCCAGTAGGCACGTGTGAGCATATTACATAGGAGTGGAGGAAAATGGTTTAAGGAAAAAACAAGCTGTTGGAATGTGAGCAAGGTAACATTTTTGAAGGGATTCAGGGAAACTAGTTAGTCGGAGTTGAGTCTTTGAGGTGGGAAGTACAGTGCCTGCGCTCTGAACGAGGGGTTGAGGATATCGCAGCTTGGAGGGGCATCTGAACTAAAGTATTTCCATGCCTCTGGCAAGACAATGATAAGAGTGAATAATGGTGAAAGTGTTTCTTCTTTTCTGGGCCATTCTACCTCAGTGGAAGATGGTCACTGTGTTAAAAAAAATAATGAACAATATACTGTATAGTACTTAAAATGTATTGTACAAGTAGAAAACAGAGAGACCTCAGTGTCTATGAGAGAGATGCTTTTTTTATTAACACATCAGCCATTTTCCACCAAGGCAGGGTGACCTGAAAAAGAAAAAATACTTTCATCATCATTCACCCCATCACTGTCTTATCAGAGGTGTGCCTACACGACAGTTATAAAACTGCCACGTATAAACACCCCTCCTTCACAGTGCAGGCATTGTGCTTCCCACCTTCAGGATTCAAGTCTGGCTTGCCAGTTTCCCTGAATCCCTTCATAAATGTTACTTTGCTCACACTCCAACAGCACATTAAGTCATAAAACCATTTGTCTCCACCAACCTCTGCAACTTTTCTTCAAAATCTCCCAAAAGCACAGTGTCATCAGCAAAAAGCAATTGTGACAACTACCACTTTGTATCAGATTCTTTATCTTTTAATCCCACACCTCTTGCCAACACCCAAGCATTCACTTCTCTTACAACTCCATCCATAAATATATTGAACAACCATGGTGACATCACGCATCCCTGTCTAAGACCTACTTTTACTAGGAAATAATCTCACAGAAAATGGGGCTTATCTGCTATGGACAAGTGTTAATATGCTAACCTGCTTTCAAGAGCAGAGTGACTGTGGGAATGTGCGAAGTACAAGCTGCAAGATGAAGGGCTGTATTGCCTATGGCATCTCGTTGATTTGGATCAGCTCCATATTGAAGCAACAGTCTGAAATTATAAATAACAGTATTATAGAACTTGTAAGATTTGTGTAGATTTTTTTTTTATAACAAGTCGGCCATCTCCCACCGAGGCAGGGTGACCCAAAAAGAAAGAAAATCCCCAAAAAGAAAATACTTTCATCATCATTCAACACTTTCACCTCACTCACACATAATCACTGTTTTTGCAGAGGTGCCTAGAATACAACAGCTTAGAAGCATATACGTATAAAGACACACAACATATCCCTCCAAACTGCCAATGTCCCGAACTTCTCCTTTAGAGTGCAGGCATTGTACTTCCCATTTCCAGGACTCAAGTCCGGCTATATAAAAATAACTGGTTTCCCTGAATCCCTTCACTAAATATTACCCTGCTCACAATCCAACAGCTCGACAGGTCCCAAATACCATTCGTCTCCATTCACTCCTATAGAACACCCTCATGCACGCCTACTGGAAGTCCAAGCACCTCACCCACAAAACCTCCCTTACCCCTTCCTTCCAACCTTTTCAAGGACGACCCCTACCCCGCCTTCCTTCCCCTACAGATTTATACGCTCTCCCTGTCATTCTACTTTGATCCATTCTCACTAAATGACCAAACCACCTTAACAACCCCTCTTCAGCCCTCTGACTAATACTTTTATTAACTCCACACCTTCTCCTAATTTCCACACTCCGAATTTTCCGCATAATATTTACACCACACATTGCAAGACAGTGATGGAGTGAATGATGGTGAAAGTTTTTCTTTTTCGGGCCACCCTGCCTTGGTGGGAATCGGCGTGTGTAATAATAATAATAATAAAAATTGCCCTTAGACAGGGCATCTCCACTGCCTCCAACCGCCTCCTCACTGCTGCATTTACCACCCAAGCTTCACACCCATATAAGAGTGTTGGTACTACTATACTTTCATACATTCCCTTCTTTGCCTCCATAGATAATGTAGAAAGTTGAAAGTGAACATAGAAAAGAGAAAGGTGATTTTTATTATTTTTTTAATGATAACACGGCCGATTCCCACCAAAGGCAGGGTGGCCGTAAAAGAAAAACTTTCACCATCATTCACTCTCATGTCTTGCCAGAAGGGTGCTTTACACTACAGTTTTTAAACTGCAACTTAACACCTCCCCTTTAGAGTGCAGGACTGTACTTCATTCCGGACTCAAGTCCGGCTGGCCGGTTTCCCGAATCCCTTCATAAATTGTTACTTTGCTCACACCAGACACGTCAAGTATTAAAAACATTTGTCTCCCTTCACTCTATCAAAACGCTCGTCATGCCTGCTGGAGTCCAAGCCTCGCACACAAAACCTCCTTTACCCCCTCCCTCCAACCCTTCAGGGCCAGGGGGGTCTCCTCAAAGGTTGAAGAAGGGTTTTGGGGTTTTGTCCCCCCTCTTGGAACCACACCATACCTTACGTAGGTTGGAAAGATGGTATTTGGGGCCTCTCTTTTGGAACTAATTTTTTAAAAAGAAGGGACAAAATTTTCCTAACTAAATTTTAACGTTCACAATCCAACATTTCCCCTGGCCCAAATTATCCAAATTCGTTCTTCACTTTAGAACCCCTCAATTCATCTACTTGGAAAGTCCAACACCTTTACCCCAAAACTCCTCTTCCCCTTCCTTTCCCAACCTTTTATGACCCCTCCCCCCTTTTTTTTCCAAAATTTTAATTTACCCTTCTATTCTCTTTTCCTTCCATAAATGACAAACCACTTAAACCCCTTTCCCAGCCCTCTAAACTAAATATCCTTTATTTAAAACTCCACCCTTGCTTTTTCCACCGGCTCCAATTTTCCCATTAATAACACCAAAACATTGCCCTTGACCGCATCACCCCCATTTTGACCCAAAATTTTTTCCCTTTTTCTCTTTTGTATTTACCACCAAGGGGTTACAACCCATGTGGATTTTGGTCTACAACTTTCAAAATTCCCTTTTCTTTCCCCATGGATAATTTAGAAGTTAAAGTGAACTTTTTAGAAAAAGGAGAAAAGGTGATGAGGGTTATAAATTCCATTTAGATAAAGAAAAATTGGGGGGAGGAGTATAGAAGAAGTGAATGTTTTCAGATATTGGGAGTTGACGTGTGGGGGATGGATTTATGAAGAATGAGGTTAATCATAAAATTGATGAGGGAAAAAGGTGAGTGGTGCGTTGAGGTATTTTGTGGAGTAAAAAAAACGTTATCTATGGAGGCAAAGAAGGGAATGTATGAAAGTGTAGTAGTAACAACACTCTTATATGGGTGTGAAGCTTGGGTTGTGAATGCAGCAGCAAGGGGGCGGTTGGGGCAGTGGAGATGTCCTGTCTAAGGGCAATGTGTGGTGTAAATATTATACGGGAAAATTCGGAGTGTGGAAATTAGGAGAAGGTGGTGGAGTTAATAAAAGTTTTAGTCAGAGGGCTGAAGAGGGGTTGTTGAGGCGGGTTTGGTCATTTAGAGAGAATGGATCAAAGTAGAATGACATGGAGAGCATTTAAATCTGTAGGAGAAGGAAGGGGGTAGGAGTCGTCCTCGAAAAGGTTTGGGAAAGGGAAAGGGGTAAGGGAGGTTTTGTGGGCGAGGGGCTTGGACTTCCAGCAGGCGTGCATGAGCCCTGTCGATAGGAGTGAATGGAGACGAATGGTATTTGGGACCTGACGATTCTGATGGGTGTGAGCAGGGTAATATTTAATGAAGGGATTCAGGGAAACCAGTTATTTTTATATAGCCAGACTTGAGTCCTGGAAATGGGAAGTACAATGCCTGCACTTTAAAGGAGGGGTTTGGGATATTAGCAGTTTGGAGGGATATGTTGTGTATCTTTATACGTATATGCTTCTAAACTGTTGTGTTCTGAGCACCTCTGCAAAAACAGTGATTATGTGTGAATGAGGTGAAAGTGTTGAATGAAAGTATTTTCTTTTTTGGGATTTTCTTTCTTTTTGGGTCACCCTGCCTCGGTGGGAGACTGCCGACTTGTTGAAAAAAAAATATATATATATATATATATGTATACCTCAATGCACCACTCGCCTTTTAACTTCATCCTTCATAAATCCATCCGCCGACACGTCAACTCACAAATATCTGAAAACATTCACTTCTTCCATACTCCTCCCCAATCTGATATCCAATTTTTCTTTATCTAAATCATTTGATACCCTCATCACCTTAATCTTTTCTATGTTCGCTTTCAAATTTCTACCTTTACACACACTCCCAAACTTGTCCACTAACCTTTGCAATTTTTCTTTAGAATCTCCCATGAGCACAGTATCATCAGCAAAAAGCAACTATGTCCATTCCCATTTTGTATTTGATTCCCCATAATTTAATCCCACCCCTCTCCCGAACACCCTAGCATTTACTTCTTTTACAATCCCATCTATAAATATATTAACCCCTTGACTGTCGTGGTCGTATATATATGTTTAATGGGTTTGTTTGGTAGGCTGTAAGCGGGTGTTTAATGATAAACGTCTTCAGAGGCTTCTTACTTTATTGTTAAGTCATGGTGGGTACACAGGCTTGTATGTTGTGCCCATGGCCCGGGTCGGGCCATCCCACGAGAGAGCTAGGAGTAGGCCTTGTGCGACCACCACTTTCCATCATTTATAACGAAGGCTTATTTGGTGTTCTGGTAGCGGGGAGTAAATGATATGTCTTCGGAGGCTTCTTACTTTATTGAAAGGTCGTAGTGGGTACATAGGCTTGTGTGTTGTGCCCATGGCCCGGGCAGGGCCATCCCATGAGAGAGAGCTAGGAGTAGGCCTTGTGTCTTCCTGCTACTCCACTGTGTGAGTGAGAGTGAGGCAAGGGCAGGCAGGCTGAAGTGGCAACGCCTATAGGTGGCAGCACCAGCATGGCGCGAAATATGAACTAAGCTGGCAGACAGCACAGGCTGTCTGTGCAGACAGTACAGGCTGTCTACATATACGTCATGGGACATACCGTGTTTGACGTATCTATATGCATAAATTCTAGCGGCTTCAAATCAAGTGGGAGAGGGCTGGTAGGCCTACATGAGAGAGAATGGGTCTCAGTGGTGGGTGTGCACCCTGTGAAAAAAATCTGGGACTCAGCAGTACATTGGGGGAACGCCAACTCAGTAGTCCATTTTCACCATGCCTCACGGTAAGAAGTTCCTCACTCCTTGGCGGATTGGAGGTCTTTTGTTCCCAAGTGATAGCTCAAACAGCGATGAAAGTGTCAGTGAAAGTGAATTCCCTGGTTTTGAAGTGGGTGTGACCGAAAAAAGTGCCCAGGATAACGTAATTAGTGATGAAAACCCAGATGACCCACAACCTTCCACCTCTGGTGCTGGGCCGGCTCGTTCATGTTCACCTGTACCAGGACGAAAGAGGAAACTATTTGCTCGTGTACAAGACTCAGATGTGAGCAGTGTAAGTGATAGTGATAGTGATTTCAAGGTTATTGTAAGCAGTTCTAGTTGTGACAGTGAGGGTGAATATTCCCCAGTGAAGCGGCAGTATATACGACGTCGCATGTGGTCTGGTAGTGTGCCATATGCTCTTCCAAGAGGAAGGAGTACATCTCGGAGCACATCCCATGGCCCTACACCACGACCTGATAGTGAAGATGACAATATTGTTACGATGGGTATCAATGATGCAAGTGAGGCAGCAGGCGGTGGTGGTGATAGTGATGGTGGCACGAGTCATGTGACACCAGCAGCGGGCCACGCTACTACCCACGCTGCTGACTCTGCACAACTACAACCAGCCTCACCCGACCCCACAGTCCCACAACAACCACAACCTGCACAACCACAACCACATTACAATATCCAGAACCCACCAGCTGACCGCATCTGGGATTGGCAGCAAGATGACGAGTTTGTTCCCAGTCCCCATGACTTTGATGGAGGACAAAGTGGAATATGGCCATCATGTACACTTGGGAACAATGCCACTGAACTGGAATGCTTTCAGTTGTTCTTCGATGAACCCCTGATGGACATTATTGTCAGGGAAAGCAATACATACTTT